GGATGACGTTGGTTGGTGGTTTCGTTTAAATGGTTCTCCTCTATTGGGATTGAAAGGTGCGTATCCTGCTCTTTGTCGTTCATAGTTGTTTCTGAAGGGATTCTGTTGATACGATTGCTGTTGTTGATGCTGATTTTTCGTGGGTTGCCTGAATCTTCCTATTGATGTATCCACGTCCATTGGTGTCGGGTTTGACCTTTCCATGTGGGGAATAGGTTGAACTCCTGGTTGATACTTCCGTTCGTTTTGTGGGTGTTTGGGGTAGTTATAAGCTTCTCGTCGTATCGGATTGTTCTGCCTTTTATAAAGAATCTCCGTGGCAATTGCGTATGCACTTTCTAAATCTCTTGGTTTTGCTGCATATAATGTGTGTTGAGTAAATTCATCATTTATGCCATTGCGGAAGCAATCTATGGCCATTTCTTTTGTGACCTGCTGTAGAGAGTGAGTATTCCCTGGGTAATCAATTTCGCATTTAGTCATTGCTAAATTAAAGATTTGACAGATCTTGCTGTGGAATTCGGATAGCGTCTGTCTTCCTTGTATTTGTCTTTTCATTTCCTCTATGAGGGCGTTATAGCTTCTAGTATCGGCGTAGCTGTAATCTAGGCGATTGAGTATTGCTTGTAAGTGAAATACTGTGCCATGATTCTGTAGAAGAGTTGCTGGTTCTCCTTCGATCTTCGTGTGACGTATTATAAATAATGCATCGTAATATGGTTTGGTATCTCGAAAGGCTTCTATGGGACTCATTGCTGATATGATGGTTGCCCTCCATGTCCTGTATTTGGATGTGTCTCCGTTGAACACTGGTAGCCGTTCGAATAGTCTCAAATTTATTTCATTTGCATTGTTTATCCTGGGACTTATCGGTTGGAATTCTTCGATTTCAGGTACTTGCGCTTGCTGCAGCTGGGCTAATTGTGCTTCTACAGCGGCATAAGCTTGTTCCAAGGTTACTACCCTTGCTTCCATAATGATTCCTCTGCCTTGATCAAACACTTGTAATCGCTTTTTTCGGAAGCGGTCCAGTTTTATTTTTGGTTCTTTGTCCTCTTTTTCAGGACGTACGGAATTTGATTTTTTAGGAGTTCCTTTTATTTTTCACTTATTGAGCCCCCAGTTAAATTCATACACTCGATGTACATAAATAAATATAATTTTATTGGTACCAAGATGTACTTAAATCAATTCTAACCTGAANGCAGGCAATGGCAAGCCTCCGAGTGTATTTCTGCCATGAAAAACAGCTTCTCATAAAAATACAATCGCCGTTCGGAGTCGGCGTAAAACTGTAGGTCCCTCCGCTTTGTGTGACAATATCAAGGCGCACGCCACAAGTTGGAGGAGAAGCTCGGCCAAACACTAGCATATGTGTAAGCGCCAATCTATTATTATTACTATTACTATTAAAAACGGTCATATTTCAACGTTCATACTCAAAAAATGAACGTTTTTCAGGAACAATTTTTAAAATATTTTTCTTTAAGATGAGATGGTTTATTTTGTGAGAGTGTGAGAATTAAACAAGGATAAAGATGGTGGAACTTTAAATCCCAAATTTACTGGTCTTCACTATGCAAATAAACTTCAAAAAGTACAACTGTTAATAGCTAACTAAGTTAGCTTTAGGACAATCATGACCATCATATATATCGAAATGTTAAACCTGTTTATTTAGCTTTAAAACGGCGTTAAGATGAAGTCTGTACGATGAGCAGTACCCGAGATATAACAATTTGAAAAAGTACTTGATTAGTCGGAATAACGAAAAAATCCAAATTCTGACAGATCCTACATACATATATCCGAAGAAGAAAAAAATGTAAAGCCAATCGAAATTCTAACACAAAATTTGGTGTCCGATATGAAAAAGAATGCCTCTTTTATATGCTATATATATTTTAATATAGAATAATAGTAATGTTGGATTCCGAATCCCGATAATAGATGCCTTAGTATGAACCCAGACAATATTTATATCATTCGTTATACTGGACGACCACTGTATTTCGTAAATTATTGTGAGTTTAAGACAATGATATTCTTTACCACAAGATGGTTGTTCTGAGAAAACACCCAACTCTCCTTTTTGACATCCACAAAACTTTGTGAAAAAAAGTTTTCACACTGAAAATTTTTTGACAAATTAATTTATTTACATTTGAAAACAGAATCGTAATTTTATGTGGGAAAATTTTAGTTTGGCATTCTCCGGGTACTAAATTAAGGTAACTATTAGCGGAGTAGGGGGAGTTCTCCTGATTGCAAATATATAGTTTTTAGCTGCCGGAGTCCTATTGTTTTTACAACGCATATATCAACTTGCAATGTTGTATGTCCAGACCACTATACTATAAATATAGCAAAGGTATTTATGGCAAGCCTAGCATAGATATCAACCTCGTCGTAGGTATCATATCAAAGACATACAATTAGAAAAACTCTAGAGATAGATGTCGCCTCGCCAGAAGAAGTTAAAAATATGCACTACATACGCTACAACGGAAATGGACGACACGCCGTTTCTTTAAATGGAATTCATTGCTGCTATATGTATGTATGTACCTATGTAGGCATATACTAAATGTGAGCAAGCAACATTTTGCTTGCATAGTCTTCTGTTCTCTTTTCACTGCAAGTTGAATTATTTTAGTATCTATTGCAAAATTTTATACAGACAAGACTAAAGAGTATAAAATAAATTTAAACAAGTAAGAAAGTCTAAGTTCGGGCGAAGCCGAACATTAAATACCCGGCGCAAGTATTAAATATATGTTTTTTCACCTCTCCGAAACCTTCCTAGATGGTAAGCCGGGGTGTATCAATTTTGAGTAAATTAGCGTCCTTCAATTTCGAAATATTGAAGTTTCAAGTATTTCTGAAATTTACCGTTATATGAGAAGCGGCCGTTATTTTAGTCCGATTTCAATAATTTTCAACGTTTTGCTTATATGTGGCAAGCACAATAACCACACCGAGTTTGGTACAAATTGGTAGAACGGTTACCGATATACTTATATGAGATCATAAGTGGGCGGTGCCACGCCCATTTTCCAAAGTTTTACCATAATCGTATTTCTTGGTAAAGAATTGTTGCAAGCATCAATTTTGAATAAATTAGCTTCAATATTTACTGATTTATCGAAGATTTTGTATTTCTCTAAATTACCGTTATATGGGATGTGGGCGTGGTTATTGTCCGATTTTAAAAAGTTTCGGCGATTTTTTATGCTGTACCAAGGCCAACAACTGTGCCAAGTTTGGAAGAAATTGGTGCAGCGGTTACCAAGATATACACATGTAACCATAAGTGGGCGTGGCTACGCCCATTTTCCAAAAATTTATAATATTCTTATTTTTCGTCTAAAAATTATTGTAAATATCAATTTTGAGTGAATTATCTTCAGTAGTTACTAAAATATCGCAGTTTTCGTATTTCTGGAAATTACCGTTATATGGGAAGTGGGCGTGGTTAAAGTCCGATTTCGCCCATTTTCAATACCAACCTACCTTGGATTAAGGGAAACCTACATACCAAATTTCGTTGAGATATCTCAATTTTTGCTCGAGTTATCGTGTACACGGACAGACGGACAGACGGACAGACGGACAGACGGACGGACAGACAGACATGGCTTAATCGATTTCTTTTTTCATCCTGATCATTTATGTATACATTTGTCTATATCTATCTCGATTCGTTTTGGCTGTTACAAACAACCGTTATGTGAACAAAGTTAATATACCCTTGTGCACAAGTGCGCTCGGGTATAAAAAACCCTTTTAATGTACCACGCTTTTATAATTGGACAGAAATTAGAAAATAATATTTCTCAGTCCCATAGAACTTATTTTGATAACTTTTTATTTTGAAATTTTAGAAAGTCATTATAAACAATTTATGAAATTTAAAATGAAAAGCGTGGGGCGCATGTGATAGGCCTAATTTGAAATTGAAGAGTAATATATGTATGTATGTGGGTATATTAATAACGACCGCTTAAAATCGATCTCAAATTTGTACTTTCGCTGTAGAAATTTTAGGTCTATGTTATGTATGTAGTTTGAATATTGTCAATTAAATTTAATGCTTTGTATTGCATGCGCCCCACGTTTTTACAACGCTTTTATCAACTTGCAATGTTGTATGTCCAGACCGCTTTGAATGTTGTATGTCCATTTTTTTGTAAGCGAGCGACAAAAGAACGCTCAACTCGGGTAAAATTTCATTTTAGCTACTTAAGCAACCCTGTTGGTAGCTGGCAAGACAATGTGATTAGTTTAACGGGATTTAGATACAAAAACGAATTTAAATGAGTAAACATGCGAGGTATTTGCGTAAAATATATACTCTTTTAAAATATAAGTCACGTATAAAAGGAAGCAAAAATTTCCCTCTCCACTTTCCCATTAACAATTCACAATAGAGCAGTTTTTTCACTTATCAACACTTGCCTTCAGTCGCGTATTTTTTAACCGAGCTGACTGAGCTCGAAAAAAACAAATTCTGTGGGACTGAGAAATATTATTTTCTACTTTTTAGTCCATTTATAAAGGCGTTGTATGTTAAAAAGTTTTTTTTTTAAATTTATTAAGTTATTTATTGCTAAAGTCTGTAAATTGAACTAACCTTCAGACACTATTTCACACAATAAACACTATATTTACGTACACTCTTAAACACCAATATATAAAAAGAAAAATTATAAGCGTCGCAGGCGAAAATTTGTAACGAATTTTTGTATTAAATATTTTCATTAATTACACAGTAGGGAGGCAAAAGTATCACAGCTAAACGGCCAAATACGTAAACTTAATTTTGGTCTCTAGATTACGATGGCGTTTTAGGGGGGAAGTTTTAGAGTTCTGAAAGTGAATTTTTCGTCGTTTAAAACACTGTGCTCAGCATTTGAATTTTTTCTGGGTAAACGTTTTGATAACTGCTCTTACTTAACTGGGATCTTTTAAATTCAATGGCGTCGTCCATTTTTCCAGATTGGCTCTAGTTTTTGAGATAACGGTGCTTGAAAATCTGCTTTAGTTTTAGGATTTTGTTAACCATTACCTCAGTTTTAAGGTTATTTTACTAAAATTTTGCACGTGACTGTATTTTGATATTACCTTAGCTATTTCTGAAAATCATGGAAATCGGTTAACTATAATACATAGCTCCCATACAACTGATTGTTCACATATGTGGTTTTGCGATACAAGTCATATTTTATTTCGTAATATTTTTTTATATTAGTAGTTTATACACTGCTTGGACCTGAATTTGGGTTCTTTTTAATCCCACTCTGGCATAATTGTGCAGTTTCTGTTGTACGAATGGCTTTTTAATACCTTTTTTTGTACTGTGAAATCTGTTGTTCGTTAAAGTCAAAGTGACAGTAATGCTTTCACATAGGCGGCGGTCTATACCGCGTCTATTTGACATAAGTTGGGAACCAAAAAACACAAACCGAAAATCTACGCGCGCGATTCTCTCTTCTTCTTTTTTGGCGCTGTAACCGCCCAAGCGATTTTGGCTGAGTTCAGCAAAGCACGCAAGTCGTTTCTCCTCTGTGCCAACTGACGCCAATTGGAAACGCCAAGTGAAGCCAAGTCCTTCTCCACGTGATCTTTCCATCGTAGTGGGGGCCACCCTCTTCCTCTGCTACCACCAGCGGATTCCGAGTTTCGAACGACATGATCAGGCCAGCGGAGTCGCTGTATTTTAATTCGCTGCACTATGTCCATATCGTTGTAAAGCTCATACAGCTCATCGTTCCATCGTCTGCGGTACTGGCCGTCGCCAACGCGTAAAGGCCCGTAAATCTTCCGCAAAATCTTTCTCTCAAACACCCCAAGAGCCGCCTCATCGGATGTTGTCATTGTCCATGCTTCTGCGCCATATACCAGCACGGGCATGATGAGTGACTTATAGAGCGTGGTTTTCGTACGTCGAGAGAGGACTTTACTCCTGAATTGCCTACTCAGTCCAAAGTAGCACTTGTTGGCAAGAGTGATTCTACGTTGGATTTCAATGCTGACATTATTATCGGTGTTAATGCTGGTTCCCAAGTAAACGAAATTCTCTACTTTCTCGAAATTGTAACTGTCAACAGTGACGTGGGTGCC